GCCCCCCGCCAGCATGAAGAAGTATGAAGAGCCTCTGCAGTCCATGATCTCCCAGACCCAGAGCCTCGGCGGGCCCAGCCTGGAACATGAGGTGCCCCACCACGCAAGCGCTGACATGGGGCAGCAGATGAACATGATGATGCAGCGGCTGAACCAGGACAGCCTGACACCGGAGCAAGTGGCCTGGAAGAATTTGCAGGAAGAGTACTATGAGGAAAAGCGACGGAAAGAGGAGCAGATCAGCATCCATGGCCGGCCCATGCAGGAGATCATGATCCCGCAGTCGATGGGGAGCATGATGATGCGTGGGCCCCCGCCACCCTACCACAGCAAGCCTGGAGAGCAGTGGCCACCGGGGCTGGGCAGGGGACCCATAGACGTGCAGGACCCGATGCAGCTGCGGGGAGGGCCCCCCTTCCCGGGGCCGCGGTTCCCTGGGAGTCAAATGCAGAGGGTCTCTGGCTTCGGAGGGATGCAGAACATGCCCTTGGATGCTCTTGGGGCCATGAATACCATGCAGAGGCCGGTCAGGCCCGGCATGGGGTGGAGTGACGATATGTCTCCTATGGGAGGCCCCGGGAGCTTTCCACAAGGCACCCTGCCCTACCCGTCAGGGCAAGGGGACCCCGAAAGGTTCATGAATCCCCGCGCCAGGGAGGAGATCCTGCGGCATCAGCTGATGGAGAAACGCCCGGTGGCGATGCAGAGGCCCATGGCGATGTCCGGCAACTCCATGAGCCAGGGCATGGAAATGGAGAGGATGATACAGGCTCACCGGCAGATGGATCCATCCGTGTTTGCTGGGCAGATAACGGGGGACAGCCTGAGCAGTGCCCCGATGGGAATGGATTTTGCAGGCACTCGGGGGATGCTGAGCCCCCCTATGAGTCAGTCAGGCCTTCGGGACATGGACGCGGCCATGGGCCCTGGCAACCTCAACATGAACATGAACGTCAACATGAACATGAACATGAACCTCAATGTCCAGATGACCCCGCAGCAGCAGATGATGATGTCGCAGAAGATGAGGGGCCCCGATATGATGGCCCACCAGGGCATGAGCCCTGAGGAGCTGGCCAGGGCGAGGGCTCAGAACGGCAATGGCGCCGCAATGCTGGGGGGACCCCAGAAAATGATGATTCCCTCCCAGTTCCCCAACCAAGGACAGCAAGGCTTCTCAAGCGGGCCAGGGCCTTACCCCAACATGCCCCAGGAGATGGGCAGCGCCTCGGACATGTTCAGCCCTGAGCAGGGCTCCATGCCCGTCGGGAGCATCGGCGGCACCACCAGACTCAGCCACATCCCTCTGCCGCCGGCTTCCAATCCCGCTCCCGCACAAGGGGCCAACCTGGCCAACATGCACCCTGCACCTTCCCGGGGGCTGGGCCGCCGGCCCTCTGACCTCACCATCAACATCAGCCAGATGAACTCCCCCAGCATGGGTCACCTCAAGTCTCCCACCCTCAGCCAGGTGCACTCGCCGCTGGTCACCTCCCCTTCTGCCAACCTCAAGTCCCCACAGACGCCCTCGCAGATGGTCAGCATGCCGCCTTCAAACCAGTCTGGACCCCTCAAGTCCCCCCAGGTGATGAGCTCCTCGCTTAACGTCCGGTCTCCAACTGGCTCACCGAGCCGCCTGAAGTCCCCTTCTATGGCCGTTCCTTCCCCTGGCTGGGTGCCGTCTCCCAAAGCCACCATGCCCAGTCCTGGAGTCAACCAGAGCAAGCAGACTCTCAGCATGAACTCGTCTACTTCCATGGGAGGACTGGATCAGGGTACGCCGGGCATCCTGTGCGCGTGCGGGCCCGGGTTTGGTCAGGGTGTGGACAGTGCTTCTCTCCAGCGCATGTGCTCGGGCAAGAGTGCAGAGGCGCTCGTGCCTGTGCGTGCCCTCGCATCTCGTGGAGCAAGGCGCCTTTCCCAGCAGCCCAAACGGGGCCTTTTCAGGTAGATGGGAGGGCGACCGGGGCGGCTTTTACTTCGAGCCCGGATCGCGCTCGGTGACGCGGGTGGCAACAGCAGTGGCCGTGCGGGGCGAGGCAAGGGACGGGGTTGCTGGCTGATGGGAGCAAGCCGTGGTGTGCGGGCAGTACTAAGCCGGTCTCTCTCTCGCTTGCAGGTTCTCTCCCTTCTGGGCCTCGGAGCAGCTCTTCCGCACCAGCCAGTAACGCCTCTAGCACCATGAATCCCAACATGCCTTTTACTTCCTCTCCAGATCCATCCCCCTCCCAGAACCCCCTCTCGCTGATGATGTCCCAGATGTCCAAGTATGCCATGCCCAGCTCCACACCGCTTTACCACAACGCCATCAAAACTATCGCCACCTCTGATGACGAGCTGCTGCCAGACAGGCCTATGCTCCCGCCTGGAAGCATGTCAGGTACCTACTTCTGGGGCTGGGCTTGCGAGGGGTCAGATCGTCCCGTGGCTGCCAGCGGGCCTGAGGTGCCAGGCGGAGGAGGCATTAGAAACTGTGGTCTCCCACTGACTGCTGCGTCAAATAGCTTAAATCTGCCCTCGTTTGTAATAGTCTGCTCACTTCTCCGCACTGTGCCCAGGCTGTCCATCAGCTTTTGGCTTGGCTGTGCGGTCTGGAAGGACGTGAGCCAGTCTGGGATTCGAGGCCCCCTTCTTCCGCGAGCTCTGGAAGTTTTCAGAACTCCGTTTACCCTGTGCAGATGCGTCAGTCCTGGGTTTTCTTGGCTCCTGGAGTTGTCTCGGGCCCAGCACTTGCGGGCAGAAGTCTGCTGCTCGGAGCCCTTGTGTTCTTGTGCAGCAGAACAGGGACGCTCTGAACAGGGTTTGGCAGTCTGGTCTTCTGAGCGGAGCCCAGGTGCCTTCACGGGCCAGGCTATGTCATAGCATAGTTCTGATTTCAGTAGGCGACAGCCAGATATGCTCCGCTAGCTGGTGGCACTGGTGAGGACAGCTAGGCAAATGAGTGTTTTTCATCACTTGGTGACCAGCCTGAAGGGGAATTCCACCACGCAGTACTACTTGATGTAGGGCTTCAAAGCTGTCTGAAAAATTTTCTTGGCAATTTTCAAAACAAAAAATCCACTTTTTGACTCTTTACCTGCTGAATAGTCGCTTAGG